TGAGTCTCAGATGCACTGAGCCTGCCCATTTGCGCATTCATATCTCCGGCAACCACCACAATGTCTGAGCTTTTAGCTCGCCGCAGCAGAGCATTCAGGGCGTCGTAAAACCTGTCTTTGACGGCGTCGGAGCTGCAGTCAGTTGGGACGTAGGCAGACACGATAAACAGGCATCTATCAACTTGCCGCTTGTGAGACTCCTTCACAGACGTTGCCAGATGTACCAATTTGCACAGAGGTGACTATCAACAGGTATCCAGTCAAGTAAGGATACTTCCGCCAGGTGACTTACGATGATACAAACCCCTGCACATCCCACCGCAGCGGCCTCTGGATCACTAGCGGTGCGCAGCCGGAAGCGAGTGGAGACTGACGGGGCGGTTAACTCAATCACTGTGCTTGCATTTTGAATTCTCGTTTCTGAGACACGGCACACATCAATGCCAAGCGAGTCCAGTGTGAGTGCAAGAGCAGCTTGTTGTCCTGCTTGCTTCCGAGTGCGGACATAGAACGCGGCCAGATAGACAGGGTGTCGTGGCTTGAGGACTGATTTGGAGATTCCTGAAGATGTCTGCACCATGTAACGAGTAGATGCTGCACGCAAAACCGATGCATGACGAACGGAGTCATCAGTCCTAAGTGCTGGGCCTACAAGGAGAAAGTTATTGATCCGGTGGGGAGAGGGAGAAGAAAAAGTATTTGAAAGAGAAAGAAGGGAGTTCTCAGCAGTAGCCTGTTTTTGCCCTGCTGTGTTCAGCAAGTAAGGCGACCCACCTGATGGCACCACGCGACGGCCGATGTGGCATGAGAGTATTGTTAGTTGTGAATGTCATTGTTGTGCGAGGGCTGGGATACTGCCAGGATGCCCACACCTAGACAGGGGGACGATTAGGGTCCCCAACCAAAGTCTTTGGCTCAAAAGCCTAACCGCAAGGCAGCGGTGTTTTGCGAAGCAAATGCATTACCATTTCTACGGAATAAGTCGCCTGGAGGGTCAGGAGACTGTGTTCGTCAGATCTCTAACCATTGACCAACCTGGTATGAGAGACTGTGCCGCGGGACACTTCCAAGTATAGCTCAATGGATCGCTGAGGTGCGCAAACTGTCACTCCATGGTGAGGTCCATTCTCTTCGTGACGGTGGTTAACAACTGATGTGGTACCAGTTGCTGATGAGCACACACTAAAGATGTGAGCCTAAAGTTCAGGTTTATTGTTCCCTGGCCCAAAGGTAAATCCTACTGAACATGTTCTTAGTAGGTCTCTCAACCATTGTACCTGGAAAACATCCACGCGCAAAACTGAAAATATAACTTCCGTTGAAGCCTTTCCAGCTTCATCCTAACACTTCTGTTTCGTCATGTAAAGATGCATTATCGGAAGTGCTTCCTTGCAAGCTTCTGTTGTGGTTATTTCGGCAGTGATGTGAATACTCGTACTTCCAGTAGAAGCACAGTGTAATAGGACACCAAGTCAAACGGGTGCCAGGCATACGAGGGTACCGAAAACAAAATGCCACTGTTGGGAACCAAGAAGAGCAGGATAGTTATGACATGCCTGGCAGGACTGCCCGTGACCCTTCGGAGCAACCAACTGATCAATGGTCTTCGTCAGGAGCACATTCTGTTGACAATAACAGAAGTTACTCTTCAAGGGCTGGAACTACGGCTAACTGTATGTCAATGAAGATGTCGTGAGGGCATTTCATTTGTTTCATACGGGGACTTCTCTTGAATGCTGTGTTCTCAGGCATCCTTCTTTCTAAAGATGACGTATGGCCCGTGATGCGTGTTTGAACGTTTCAACAGGTTTGAACACCTGTTCTCTGAACAAACAGAACATTATTAACTATTCGCTTCTGGGTTAGAGATTTCCTGGTCAAGTCAGCAAGATAATATCAAGGCATACTTCCATATCTCACTCAGATCACGGGGGAAAAGAATGATGGTAATTGCTCCGATCGTACGATTTCTGTCTGTGAACAGTTGTTGCACGCAATCCCAGGGATTGAAAGTTGAGGGCTGCTTAAAACCAACACAATGAAAATCTCATGACTGCTGAGCTAAAGAGTATGAAGATTGCGGAGATTACAAAACATGACGTCAGTGTTTGTCGGCCCCCCCCCCCCCCTCACCTATGGACTGAAAAAAGCAACGTGTTGCTTTCAATATCCAAGTAGGTTCTGTGTGTGTGTGTGTGTGTGTGTGTGTGTGTGTGTGTGTGGAAATGTGTATAGTCTGTCTGCCAATCACCCAGTGTTAGTTGATTAAACCAAGACAGGCTAAGAAAACTGCACCGGGCTACCACCTGGACTACTATTGCTCATTTATAGCTTTCCAACCAAACCCACGGCCACACCCTAAGCGCGCAGTCTGTCCGGCGATTCACAACCAAGCAGACGTGTAATATCATACTGTCCGAAATCTCAGTCATAATTTTGACCAATAAAATGCATGCCTACGGTTTTCCGACGCACTGGTGCGGCGAGGTGGGTTTCTAATAATAGCAGTGTTCTGACCAAGGTTGAGTAAGCTGGCGGTAAATGTTTACCGCCTAACCGAAGGTGGGCGAACCGGTTGTATCGATCTGCAAGAAAGACTGTTGTTCTGGTTGTGTGGATCGTCTGAAGAAACAGTCGGAAACCGTAGAAACTCGGTGAATGCGATTAGACTACATAATTTAGCGGGTTATAACAAATCTACTCAATCTACAGAATGCAAGCCATTTCACCTTCTGTCGGTGGGAGGGGATATTTTAGTCGTTCACATAACACGGGTGTGAAAACATGTTTTGAAGTTAGCATTTAAGTGATTCTAGGTATTTTCACTTAATTTCAAACCAACCTAAGCAGAAAAGAGTAGTTTTACGGATCCCACAAGGACAAGGAATTATTTCTCGGAACAAACTGATCTGGGCTTGTACAATAGCACCAAACCCAGTACCAGCTTGTAGTCGAGACGACGATGTGATGGATAAACTGTAAGGCACTGTGGATCTGTCCTACCTTACTTAGTGCTTGCCAGTGGCAGAAGGCAACCTTTCGCTCAAAGTCGCTTTTTTATGTCATTAGGAGCGATCACTTTTTACTGAACTCGTCAAAGTCGTAGATAATGGAGAATGTTTGAATAATCATCAAAAACAGTTGCTTCACAAATCACATCAAGAATTGATTGATCTAAATTCGTCCGTAGCCTTCTGATTCCTTCCCAATTCGGAGGTCACAAGGTAATGGTAGGAGCTCTAATTTGAACGTCGAACTATATGTTTGTTCACTCGTTGCTAAGTATGTCTACTAACTCCCTTAACGAGAATTTCATTCCAAGTTGTGATCATCGCTATGTTCTGCAAAACATTTGACCTTATTTGTGTAAGTATTTGTGCAGTGCTTTGCACTCATTACCGGTTTGATTGACCTCAGTCAGCATTATGAATATGTGAACTGTTTCGAAGGAAAACAACAGCATGCACGCAGTCTGCGCAAAACCGAGACACGTTGTTCGACACATGCACCCAGTTGCATGTTCACTTTGGTCTCAACGGAGAATTCTCAACAGAATCCCTGTTGAACTTCTGGTTTATGATATTTTTCTTCAGCTAAATGTGCTGCACAAATGGCGTCTTAGCTGCCTCTCGAGATACTGAAGTATTTTCTCACACAGGGTCACTGAAAACTCCTAGATAGCCCACGATCACTCCCGCTTGCTTTTTGGGCTCATCAGGTAGGCGCGACTCCCAAGTTACCATCGGCCCTATGTTCTACGTGATAGGTCCAAACAAGGGCGAAACCACTTGTTGGTCGCTAGACTTTTGAATGGGCTTATCAGTAGTTTCCTTAAACAAGGCAAAAATTTAAACGTAGCCCTACATTTACCACAGAGTAAGACAATAATGGTTTTGGTGTCTTTGAAGGACGGGAGCTATTTCTTCAGAGCATTGTTTCCGTCAGGAGCAGGTGAGAGCTTTCTTAAGTGCTTCTGGGTGAAAGTATCCCCGCTAAATGAAAATATTACGGGCTTCCTTAAGGATGTCCGACGTGGAGGATTGCGGTATTTCTGAAAGGCCTGCTGCGCCTTCGGCTTATGGTATGAAATTAAAAGTCATTTTTTCCTCTAGAATATAAAAGAATAATATCTGTCTTTTGGGGAATGGCTGATCGGTACACAATTTACGCATCGTTACTTCTAGCATGTATGCTCTAGATTGACTAGCTTCTTCCCTTGGTTTCATTGGTATAATGTTTCCAGGCTTGTTAGGTAGAGCTATGGATGTTGGATGATATATCTCAAACGCTAAGGACTTCAGGTAATTTCAACCATCCACTCAGAACCGCTGATAGCAGCCTGCTAAATTCTGTCCAACTCTTGAATTAGTTTCGCAGTGATTGGTTTCCGAAAACGCACAGTCGAGTATACAGGTGACGACAACGCTTTTAGTTCCTCTTATTGAGAACTCGCTATTCATAAGGTTGCTGAAAACTCTTCGGCAGCTCAAGGACGGTTTCATTATTCCACGGGCTCATCAGGCAGGCACAGTCCTACAGTATCCATCGGCTTTACGTTCCACTTAAACTCAAATTGGGCGCTAATCGTGAGGTACACTCATTTGCAAAGTAATCTGATTCTGGCTAGAAACTTGATTAAACCCAAGCTGAATCTATCTTTTATGGTGGATTCTGAAAAGTGCAGTGTATGGTATACTTTACCTAGATTGTGAATAAACTTTATCTTTATCACATCGTATGTGGAACACCTGACCCAGAGGCATCAAGTGGCGGTAGTCCTAGGACGATTGAGAACTCCTCTGGTGTGTGTGTGTGTGTGTATGTATGAAGGTAACAGGATGCACCGGAGCAACCATATGCATACCAGGGGACTACATCAACATGGTGTGTGTGTGTGTGCATCCAGTTTGCTAGCAGGTGGCTATACAATCAAACAGCTGTCACTGTGACACGTCGTTGTCCCGACATTGTTTATCGTCAGACTGTCAATCTCATTCCCGTTCACTGCCTCTTTTTTCCGCCTGTAGACGATGATTTATTCTCTTTGCTCGTAGCCACTAACCAGTATCAGACAATCTGGTGAACAACCAGAGACCACTGGGATGGAGGGGAAATTCCGCTGACCTGGAAGTCATGGGCGCCATCACTAGAACAGTAGTTAGCTTCTTACAGAATGGGACAACAAGGTGTTTGTGGCCTCAGTGGGAGCACTGATGACAAACTGGACATAAAAATAAACCTTGTTTGGAAGATGAGCTCTACTGGTATCCCACTCAACGGAGAGCTCGAATAGCTGAAGTGTGTTCAACGAAATCTTCTACCGGAAGCTCTGGAAGACCTCACAGTGATAGCTTCTAAAAACGTCTAAGTGAGTCGTGCATCACAATGACCTTCACCACTTATGTGTGAAGGTGAGCTTGCTAAGGTCAACAGATGTGGCAGTCCGACTCAAGAAGGGGGCCCCCAGAAGAGAGGGTACCTAGCAGGAAAGTCTATAGCAAGCGTTCTCCACCGGATTACAGTAAGATGTCTTGTCTCTGGAGAGGACATTCCAAACTTCCTAGGGATATAGCGATTTCGCCTTCAGAGGAACGATTTCCCCTCTGAAGGAAAGCCATGAATCTCATGAGCTGAAAGAAAAACACAGCAGAGGGCTTCGCTATTGGGGAGAATGTTGGTAGTTCAGGTGGAGTAGATTGTGGTCATCCAAAACTACTGACTCATCACAACGCTGTCCAATAACGCGCTGATAATTACACCTCGATAAGGACAGAAAGCTGTAATTAAGAGCTGTAAAAGGGTGGGAATTCAGAGCAAGCAACCTGATATCCATAGGGAGAACGATCAGGAACGAGATGCCCACACCTTTCAACAGTTTTGGGCTAAACAAATCTGATCGTTAAGCCGAAGCAAGACGTCATCTGCGGGATTCACCCATCATTTGCAAAACCTCACCAACGCCAGCCCTGTGCCAGCTCAACGCAAAGGGACATCAATATTAATTAGTCCATGCGACCAGGAAGTGGTCGCATGCTCACATCTGGGATCATTCATATTGCGTGTCCTCTAGAGTCTTCAACCGCAAGCAAGGAGGATCGTGATAACCCTGGACTTCAAAAATATCCCACTCGAACGTTGCTTACTTAATTTCGAGTTATCGTATCATGGCCCATTCCATGTAAAGCTCTGAGCCAAAAGGGTTTCAATGAGGAAACAGCACTTTCCTTCGTAGACGGTGATCTTGTTTGCATGATACATTAACCTTTACCTGATAGGTTTATTTGTTCCTCGGCTGCTTTTGGTTAGCTAAATTTCGTCATCATTTCGTCACTAGCACGCTGCAACTTGCTAGCCCCTGCCATAATATGAGGGCATCGGTTATCAAATGCACGACGTCACAACACATGTAATTACTCTTTCAGGTCAAGTAGCATGTCGTGTGCACTCCTTTTCTGGGGGCATATCTTAGCCGATGATCACTGCGTAGGTTGCTTCAAAGTAGATTTTGTGGAATCTGCCACGATATTTCCGCGATTTTTCTACCACCCGGAACATCATTGTTTTTTGTCTTACACAGTCCACTCTGACCCTGTAGATGCCGATAACTCATTTCTCCTGTGGTGACCGATCTTAGAGAGCAAGGTCAGTTGAGGCTTTACTGTATCCATCTACCATCCAGCCAAAAATCTGCTCCATAGGTGTAATAACAATGTTTCGATTGTCTAGCATCAGACGCGGAATCGATTGCGGTAGGTCACTTCTATCTACGCAAAATTGGAAAAATGCGGGTATTTCTGTGGGGTGAGTCAATACTCCTAAATTGACTACCACCTAGGAGAATCTTCTGTGAGGCAATTGCTAGGTCGTAAGATTACGAACTTGTCATGCTGTTCATGCTGTTTTTTGGATTAAGTGTCAGTGTCGACTCATTCAATCTCAGGTACGTTTAGGCACACCTGCTCACCACAGACGTATCGAGCTACCATAAGTTTTTTCTATCGGTGGGAGTAGATTACACTTGACCAGAATAAAGGGTTTGCTGTAGGTGCAGAGCATCAACATTAGTTCAGACAATTCGACGTCAGTTGTGTGGTTTGAATGCGTGTGGGTTGCTCGTGGTTGGTACAAGGGATTAGTCACCTTCGTGTAATCGATTTAGACGACCCTGGATTTCGAACTCGATTTCCATTGGTCCAATCGGAGATGCCGCAGTGTGCTTGTTTCGTGCTTGGTCTCATTTGCGTCCGTGCGCACATAGGAGTTACCACAGATTCACGTCTGTTCACGGGATGATTACCGCTGATCACTTGAAGATACCTGTCTTTTGCATGTTGCTGTTCGCGTTATCTGCTAAAAACAATAACGTTTCTACAGGAAGTGCGCAAGAGATATCGGGTTAAAGTTAACCTAAACAACAAAACGGACCATGGTGGTGAGAAAAACCCGGTGGGCTTTGTTCTTTCGGGTGGAGCATGCGTGCCATCGGTCGACAGCACGCCAACCCTCTCTCAGGTTAAGCCCAATTCGACATGAGACAAGGCTATCAGGGCGCTGTTTCCCAGCTAGCACGCCATAGCGATAGCTTCATTCCGGTAAAAAGCTGCCCATTAGTGCTGTTTGCCAACTTCTCCACATGTCGTCCACGAAGAAAGGATGACATCTATTGTGGTTTCATCCAGCATTCAATGTCGAACTCTGTCCAAAGAAAGGGCGACAAGCAGCTGTGGAATGTAAATAACCTAGCAACATTTTGTATCCCACAGTCTCATACTAGTGTATATGTCTTAGGAGAAACCACATGGACGGAGTTGCCTAACGTGGACTCTTCTGAAAGTGATCTGCTCAGGGAATGAACAAGTGTACGTATACTGTCAAGGTGCTTCAAGTACACACATCATTACGTGAATCTTCCAGTTGTAACAGTTTTTCTTTAGGGCCCATCCAATTCAATGTAGTGGGGTTCTATCTTGAGTCCATTTTTATTGTTCAAAGGGTAAAGTGGCTTCTGTTCGACTGCTGAAGGATTTCCATTAAGAGAGATTTACGTTCAGGAGAAAACTGGAATCACAAAAATTGTTGCAATATGGAAATTATTCATAAAGTGGGAGGCGTTCAACTTGGTTAGTTGTGACAGCAAAAAGCCTATCGAGACGCTAGAGGAGTCATTTTTCACTAACTGGCAGTTTGATATGGATATCTTATCTGCTGGAAACTTTTGTTAATTGTATCACAACTAAATGAAAAGGCCGTGTGGTGTATGAAGCTGATAATAAATTAAATACAGAGGATATGTTAAAGTGTGTTCTTGGTTAAACGTGGACTACCGACAAAATTGCCAGGCAGTCAGTAGGGTGAAGAAGAACTAAGTCTGAAGTCTAGTCAGGAAAACGAGTTAGGAAGGCGGTAAGGAAATAGTAGGAGTGGATACATGGAACAATAACGTGAACAAACAAGTCGATTCTAAGAACATTCACGTTTGAGTTTAAGGTACAGGAAGCGTCCTAAGAGAGAAAGTGATTCGGAAATTTGTTCGGTCGTATTTGTTCGGTTACAGGTTGGGCTTCGTATTGTGTGTTCCTAGGTTGAAGCAATAGTAGCAAGAATATAGGTGTCTCGATTCAAATGGTGTGCAGTTGTCACCTGCAAGTGCCAGCGTAATGCATATATACTACTGATAAAATGAGTAGAGTCTGGTTGGGTGTCAAAGTGTCATCTTATCTGATGGGAGGTTGGCACGAAAATTATGAGACTTCTTGATAATGCTTGTTCATTATTGCTTAGAATTCAAAGAAAGTCCAGGAGAGTTCAAAGAGATGCTTGAGAATGTTCACTTTTCAAATAATCTGTGCAAATGAAGGCTTTATTTTCGTGTCTGATGGCTGGTAACCCGTTAGTTCGTTGGGCCGGAGCGGACTATTTCCATTTTCACCTGCTCTTTCGGGTAGTAAGCCTTGATCGCGTTACACACAAATGAATTGGGGAACACGTTGAATATTACATTCGCACGCATGACAGGTCAGTCGCGGGTGAGTGCAGCATTGTCTGCCGGACAAACTGCCTATCTGTACAAAACTAACCTCAAAGGCTGCTGTCTAGGTGATGTATCATGGCACCGGCTCCAGTGCAGTAACAATCTCCTACGTCACATAATCAGAACCGGTCAGTGGGTGCTCCAACGCTAGACGCACTTTCATTCAACCACCCTTCCACCCGGTAGGCAAATTACACTGTATTGTTATCCGAAATGGGAGGGGCTTGTGTTACCTGGCAACCAGAATGAGGTCGAAGCGGCTCAATCAAAAGGAAATGGGGAAAACAATACCCATAACCGTAGAGGAATGTACAGACCAGGAACTGCCGCGAAACAATGAAACGAGTGACAAGCTTGGCTATTTTTGTGACGCAACATCAGAAGCTGATTTCCTATTGCAGAGTGATACACATATTGTTCTTCTTATTCCAGGCAGACAGCTTCAGTGACGTAGTTCTAATCTTACCGTTATCACCCCCATGCTTGTATGTGCGGAGCCGAACCATGTGACCATTATACACACCAACACACAACCCGTGTAGGAAACTTTGGTTGACGATGATGACGGTGGACATGATTCTCGACACCTAGAGCAATAACCGCGATACAACCATGATGAAAGAACACACTTGTAAGGAAATGGGAGCATTAAAAGTGGGGGGTATATATGAAAAACTATCTCAATTCGTCTGGGTATTGTGAAGGAATCAGGGATGGGGCACAGCTTAACTGATGATGGTGTCCCATTCATCATTTGCAGGGTCGTCGGTTGGACCGTCTGGCCCAAACGACCGATACCGGACAAGCAAGAACAAGTTCTGTTCTGACGGCCAGTTCAGAGTTCTCTGTCTGTGCGGTACTAAGGTTCCCAGTCCGAATGTCACTAGCTCGCAGCTCCAAATAAGGAATGAATGATGGTAAACAAAGTTGATGAGCTCTAATCGAGGATGAAGTTGACCAGCTTACCCTCCTTTTGACGCGGAATAACAAGAGAACCACAGAACCATAGGATCTGTGGTGATGTGAACAGCGCAACGGATATTGAGGATAAAGTTTTGCCTTTGGTGCTATCTACTCAGAAAGTGATGGTTTGGTCGTTGGTACTCATTATCATCATCACCATCGACAGAAACACCAGAAAAGAACACTGTTGATTCACTGCCGTAGTAGATGTGCAATCCATAATGGTACTTGGGGTGGGATACTGCCATGACGCCCAGACCTGGACAGGAGAATGACCAGGGTCCTCAACCTAAGCCTCTGACTCAATATCCTAAGCACAAGGCAGCGATGTTTTGACGTAAGATCGTCAGAGCAGCCTACATTTTTGGGGGTAAAGTCCCCACACATGTTTCAACCCTCAACCTAGAGGACCAGGGAACCGTGGTGGTCCGACCTCCACCCACTGATTGCCAAATGATGAGACGGCATGAACTCTTTCGATGCGGCAGCGAATTCAAATGCACCTACGAGCGGCTGATATATTCTCTCCGGCGGTCTAGTTCTGTCAATAAACGGCTTGGCATGAGTGATAAAAAACTGGCGTGACGGTATGCTTGTGTATGGGAGGCTAAATTTAATTAAGGATGACTAAGCCAGACAATATACCATATATTCTTACATTACCAAGGGAGAACCAGTGAATACTAGAAAGTTGATAAACAATGAAATATTGTATGCCATTCAGTGTGGTCTTTCGGCTTTCTTGAACCCTCACTAAGTGTACCGATTGCGAGTTGCCGGTAGAGTAGTCTATTTGACAGAAATTCTCTTTTTATTGCTGTGTGATATGTCCTACGTACTGAAGACACGAACCGTGTGGACTGACTGACCATTGATATATTTCGGTAAACGCTTAAAATCCTCAATGAGGAGGTATCCGGAGGACCCCAAACTGTGCTATCCCACTCCGGTTTATGGACGAAAAATAACAGCCGGCTCGTAATACGGTACAATAATATTATTCCCATCTGCATCATTGCTAACACCACCCCCACCATCACCACCATCTCCGCCACTGCCACCACAGCCATTGTTTACTGACTGAGGAAGAGTTAAACAGCAGGATCAACCCATAAATCACGTCCAAAAAAAAAAGCGCACTGGTATCTGTTGTTCTCTGGGTTATGTGGATGTGTTTGTGTGTACATTCAGATCGTGGGATCTGAATTGGCTGGTGAAACTGACTAACGGTTATGTGGCTTGATGTTCAGGGTGAAGATTCATTCAACAAACACGTAAACACATTAACACAAGTGTGATATGATAACTGTGAGGTCATGCTTAGTCTAACCGTATACGGTTAAACTAAGCACTATTGTTGGATATGCAGTCCAGGTCAGTGGATCTGATTCTGTGCCACGTATGGGGTGGTAAAAGCAGACTTGTTAATCAGGGGCAAATACCAAGTAAGGCTTTGGAACTTTGCTTTGGGAAAATTAGACCTGCTACTTGAAGAGAGTGTGGTTTGTGAAGGAGCCAGCTTGCAAGCTTCGTCAGTTATTTCTCAAACATCTTTTGGTTTTCGATCGTTCATAGTTGCTTTTCCTGGTTCAGCAATTTGTAGGAGACAGGCAGGGAAAATATAGTTATGGATTATGTTTAGATGTGGTAGAGGAATTTGTCCTGCTCTAGGAACAACACACCAGTCGTACGATTACTGAAAACCCCTTGACAGCTCACGACCACCTTTGCCCTTCCTAATCCTCATCAGGTAGACGTAGCCCCCGGCTTTCCGTCAACTATGTTCTCGTTGAACGAGGCCATCACGAACGAGAGATTTAGCTGGATTCAGTTGACTCTTGTGTCAAAACCAAATGAATTTGCAGATGAGAGTACTTGGTGAATGTGTCCCGCCGTTCTCACTCCCGACCACAAAATCCACATCACACTAAAGGACCTAGTTTAATTGAACTGCGTCAGCGTTTGATGAAGTAACTGCTCAAGGACAATGAAGAATGTTTCACACATGATGTGTCACAGAAACTGGAGTGTATGGGAAATCATATTACCTTATTTTTGACCAGTAAAATCGGATCATACGAGATTATTTGCACATTTTATGGTTTCAAACACGAGTAGATGTGAAACACAACAGATTCGTACCCGATTGTTCCTATCCTGGAGGTATATTTGACTATAGATCAGGCTCGAAACAAAATAGAAGTAATAAAAGCTTTAGTCCCCAACTACTATACACAATTTGGAAACAATTCACTTACGGCAATGGAGCATATTCTCAACATTCCGCACAAAAACATTGACTTATGCAAGGGCGCTGATGCTTTCCTCCGGGTTAAGCAAAACAAGAAGTCATCTTCTGTAGTTCCCAAACGAGGCATTACTTCTTGCGAATGTTGTGCTGATCGAGAATTAACTCCACTGTTCTGTTATTTCGAAATAATTTAAACGTACCCAACAAAACCTCACAGTTTATGCATATTAAATCTTTCGGTTGCTCCAACTTGCTTTGGTAAGCCATTTCGGTGCAAATGAACGGTTCCTTGAAGTAGCTACTAGATAAATTGTTGTAACACAGCCACAGATTGAAGATCACTCATGTCATGGTTTGTTTTATTTGTCCCTACCTGGTGACAGGAATGAGATCAGGCTTACCTAGGAGATTCTCAACCCATCACAATTTGTTTGTTTCTGTATGAGAGTAGGAGTGGAACTTTTTCTGGTGGATGTTTTTGCTGGTGAGTAGAAAAACGAGAAAAATGGTTACTTTCAAGGTATTTTCAGGTGGAGTTTAATTATAAGCAGGTATCACTTTTAAGTTGATCGGTGACTAAGCTGAAATTCACCTGAATTTGTCGTTTATACTATTCTGCAGTTGAATATGCTGCACGAAGGAAGTTTCATGCTTTCGTCGACTTTATGAGTAGTTCCATATCGAGGAGAGTAGTGGAGAAATACAAGGAAAATACTGGAAAAACATCTCGAATAGTGTATCAGGTGAAACATGAAGGGGCCCTTGTGCTATTGAAGAACGTCCCAAACGGAGGATTCAGCTGGGATTCGGTCGAGTCTTCCGTTAAAACCGAATTAATGTGCAAATGAGCGTACGTGGAGTACTTTATCCAAGTTTCAGCAGCCTTTTGAGTAGTCTTTTCCGTCAAGAATATACTCTGCGATATCTGAAACAAGAGGCAGCCTTTGTGCAGTACATTCACTTGGGGAACCTCATCAATAAGTGATTTAGTGAGAATTCAGCTGAGTCTCCCATGGCCACAAACTTACTCATCGAATGAGTGTATTCCGCTGACGTGGAAGATACTTTTTTCGAGTTGTTAAAAAAACGCTTGTTTGCTAATGCCTGGTCCTGTCCGGATATTTATCGTTGTCTTGACTCCGCAGAATGCACGTGAACGAAAGGATCATTCCATGTAGAAATCTTGTGAAAAATGGTCCGCCGGTTAATTCCTAACCAACCTGGCTATTTGATGGCTTGGCCAAACACCACCCTCCAGATGGTGTTATTGAATGCAACTGCACAATCAAGGAAGAAATTTAATTAAGGGGCGACCACGCACATCATGTGTCCAGGGTGAATCGTGTCTATCCGTAAGCAAATTGCCAGGGATCAGGAGCCACGTAGATTCTTTTGCTTGGTGAAAGCTAATTCATGCAGCTAACTCCAAGAGGGACGTTGAATCAGAGTGGATCTTCATTCTGTCGTTCGTAACGCACGCTGAGTCACCCGATGCGTACCATAGATGATGATCCCCACAACTCAAATTTGTGTGTATTCAACTTTCCTAGGCATCGTGGAGTCTTAAATGTGGATCAAGTTATCTCTTCTGCTCATGACTCGGCGGTCACTTGGACCTTTTCTTTCTGTCTGTTGATCGGTATAATCAACTACTGTTCGGCCATCAAATTCCTTCGCAGTCAGAACGAAAATGCTCCCCCCGATCTCACGGAATTGTGTGATAATCGCATTGCTATACCTTTGGGCAAACAACCTGATCTAAGAAGGTACACAGAAATTCCGCAAAACGTGAATGCGCAAAATTTAGACAACATTCTAAGGTTTCCCGTTCCTCTTTTGGACAAAGTGCAGGTTATCGATAATCATAATAATTCTGTCCTGGATCCAACTTCCAGTCGACGATGACTACTTTCCTGGATCGTTCAGTTCGTTTATTGTGGCCGACATTCTTCGTTCATCTGTTCTCAGATGTGGCTATGACTATTGTCAGTTGTCTGAGGCAGATCGTTCCAGGCAGCAAATTTCAATACATCCATGCTGGAAAGTTGAGCCTTTTGGGCTGGATGGCCCTGCTTTCGAGAAGGAACGAGAAAGAGTATTGCAGAGTATTCTATGGGAGGAGAGGTACTAACCAGAGAGGACGGTGGTTTACTAGTGGCTGTGTTCAGTGGATTTTTCCTCATGCAGCCCCACCGGACGCAAACAGACCTGTTAGAACTCGCGAGGATTACGTCATATGCAAGGGCTTACATGATCAGGATTTTGTGCTGGGGGATCACATCTTAAAGGGTGACCGGTGAAAATCTGAGAGAATGGCTCAGAAGATATAATAAAGGGAAACTCCTCAGTTTGAGATGTTTACGGGAAAACCAAATTGTCCCTGAGTGCGACGTACCTATTCACTTTGGGTTTTGTGGCCGTGCATCAAAGGGTCCATTTGCAGCCGATGTATTTATCCTGCTAAACTGCAATGAATTATAAACCAGCTGATTGATTTGTCCAGCGGGTGCGCTTGCTTTTCAGAGACCTGAGTGATTGATCTCGACAACACGCTCTATTTAGTCGGACGTTGTAACTGTAAACCATAACTAAAACTTGAAGGCTCCATTAGACTTCTGGGGCATTATTTCCAAAACAACACAATATGTTAAACGTCTAAAGTGATTTCTTTTCTCTGCTTCATCAGGTGA